CATCTTCAAACACATTTCTTACATTACACAGATAACAATAATAATAATAATATCATTATGACTTGACATAAATACTACAGTTCAACAAAGCAAGTAACAGATTTACCCACACAAATATATTTAGTTCATATAATTTAACATAATTGCATTGAACCCTTACATGTCTCTAGACAGAGCATCAGCAATTACATTATCTTTTCTCCTAATATGTTTAATATCCAAGTTGTACTCCTGCAACACTAAGCTCCAATTTAAGCTTTTGGACTTTGTTCCTTATTTTACTCAAAAATATCAATGAACTGTGGTCTGTATACACAAACATAAACATAATTTTTTTGGAAAGATAGTAAATAGGATGTTCAATACCATCATCATCATCATTTTGCAACAGAATGGCTCCCATTCCAAGATTGCTGGCTTCAGCAGTCAGTGTGAGCTGTTTACAAAAATCTGGTGTCTTCAACACTGGAGTGTTCCATAACAAGGCCTTTAATTTATGGAATGCCACTTCACACTTGGGATTCCAGACGAACTTATGTTTCTTCTCAGTCAAATTGGTGAGTGGAACTACAATCTCAAAGCAGTTTTTACAAAATCTCCAATAATAACTGGCCATGCCAAAAATCTTTTTAGCAATTTCACAGTTTTTGGGGTTAGAAAAACCATCAAATGCAGGAATTGGCTGCATTGGAGGAACTGGAACACTAGGTTTACCATCCATCTGACATGTGTGGCAAGTTTTATAAAATTTAGACATATTGCACCTAAGACCTGGCCAAAAAAATTTTTTCTTTATTTCATATCTATATGCCCTAGGCACAACAACATGGTATACAAAGCTCACTCATCATTAGTGGGAATATCAGCTGGACGGCATTTTCTTGTGAGAACACCATCCTTAATGAAATATCCTACAAGAACATTCTTTAATTCACCTATTTACAAGTATGGCAATCTGGGGACCACTCTCCTGCTCATAAAGAAGTTGACTTTTCAAAGACAACTCAACCTTCATACTACTTCGCCTGTCAAACCCCTTGCAAACTTTATCTCTGAGAAAGTCTTTGATAACAGAAGGATGATAATTGTCCTTGTTATGGGACTAAATGTATCTGAAAAATCAATAAAATCATCTTGTAACACAACTTTAATCCTTGCTGAAGTTTCAGTAGCTACTGATGCCTTTTTGGCCATTGCTTGAGTCACTGCACAGGCTGAAAATAAATCTGACATTCAACAAATTTACTATCTTCACAAGGGCTTGGTTTCGAAACAACACAAGGATCAGTAGTCACCTGACTACCTGCCAAGTCATTACCCAACAGTAAAAATACACCCTTAACTGGCAAAGCAGGAGTACCACCTATGGTAACAAATCCTGAGATTAAGTCGGACTGTATATAAACTTTATGCAGAGGTACATTCACAAAGCTATCCTCAATGCCCTGGGTTAAAATAAGTTCACTAGTGGCTGACTCGCTAGAAAAAAGGCAGTGTCTCCTGCAGTAACAAAGACTGAGGAGCACCTGTATCCCAAAGAATTTTAATAGGCATGGAATTAGATTTATCTTTACTAATGGACACCTGTAGAGTACGGGAATCCTTACTACTTGCTAATGGACACAAATGGCAGAAATTCTTTTGTCGCAGGTTCATACTCACAATGACTTATGTGAGGAAACAAGAGCATTAGGTGACATCTTTTTATTCTTTGCTTTTAAAGTCCAACATTTGCAAATTACTTGACCCTTACTCTTACAATTATGACAAACAGGAGCACTATAACCTGAGTGGATTTCGTACCTGTTCTTGGACTTAATTGTCAACTTCGACCAGATTTAGGAGCAAAGGAGTACTTGGGATCACCATCTGAATGACCACTGGAACTACTTCTACCTCCATTTCTATGAGGGGGGGAATCAAAGTGTATGGGCTTATTGACTAACTTTGTGAGTTAAGGCAAAATCATCAGTCAATGTGTTAACCTGTTGTAAAGCTTCTACTTTCCTCTTGTCAAGATGAGTCTTGACATCATCTTTAATACCTTTTATGTTCTTCCATCAAAATCAATTGTTTCAAACTTTCAAAGTTGTCATTCACCTTTTAGATGTGCACCACCTTTCAAAATAAACTTCTTTTTCATAGGTGATTTCCACATGGGTTTGGTAGTTGTGTCATCAATAATTACAAAATTTTTGCTTGTATGCCTCAGGAACTAATTCATAGGCTTTGAGAATGTCAGATTTTACAACATCATATTTTATACAATCGTCAATTGAAAGTGCACTCTAAGCTTCTTGAGCTTTGCTTATAATGACACTTTGCAATAAAATTGGAACTGTCGGGCCATTTTAAACTTTGGGCTACCTTCTCGAAATGTTGAAAATATTTACCTACCCAATGTTCATTGTATGGTGGTACCATTTTAACATGATGAGCCCTCAGTTTGTATTGTATGTAATTTGCCAACATTCATAATGATACTCATGTACTATTAGCAGGCTTTGGGTTTAATTAAAATTTAATAGGCACAACTTACACATGAAACAACATATTACTGAATATTCTTACCACAACCAACATCACTTGAATTTCTAACACATAACTATATATATATATATATATATATATATATATATATAGTACGACAGAGATCGACCACCTACTTAACTTTAATTTTACTTTACGTTAAGGTTGGGTGGTAGTTCGACCGTACGTTACACGAAGTA